CTTACCTTTTACAGCTTCCATTACTTCATTTGTTAACCATGCAGGCCTTTTTCTATACCTATTTATGCCTTTCCTAACCTGCGGTATATATTTTTTCTGAGCTTCTAGGATTTTAATTTTAAAAAGTCTACAAGCTTCCCCAATGGTTTTGACCTTTTTTACTTTTGCTTTCAGTTTCCTCCTCACATGTCCCTTCATTTCAAAGAAGTTACCACTTTTACATTTAAAAGTGGTTGTGTCGCTCTTTTTGGGCAACTCCCTATTTATACAAATGTTGAACTCAATATCTGAGCCTCTAGGATCGTAGTTTTAAATAGTCTCCAAGCTTCCCCAATGGTTTTGACCCTTTCTACTTTTCCTTTCAGTTTCCTCCCCACAAGTTAAAAGTGGTTGTGTCGCTCTTTTTGGGCAACTCCCTATTTATACAAATGTTGAACTCAATAACATTATGGTCACTGTTCCCAAGCGGTGCAATCACTTTTACATCTCTCACCAGGTCTTGGGCGTTACTTAGGACCAACTCCAGGATCGCCTCTCCCCTGGTAGTTCTGTGATCATCTGCTCCGTAGCACAGTCATTGAGAGTGTCTAGAAATTCAATCTCATTTTCCCCAACTTGAACACATATTGACCCAATCAATGTGTGGGTAGTTAAAATCACCTATGACGACAAAGTTATTTCTTCTTTTGATCTGGTGGGCAATAACAAACCCAGTGTTAAGCTTCCTTTTGGGCCCACTATTTCAACCCATAGAATTTCCAGAAGCAAATCCAATTCTTTTACCCTCTCAATCTTACTGGACTGTATACCCTCTCTGACATACAGAGCCACCCCACCTCCAACCCTTCCCCCCCATCCTTCCAATATAATTTATAACCAAGAATCACCTTGTCTTCCTCTTTTCCTGCTCCCTTCAGCTTTTCCTGGCATTGTTGTCATTTCCAGTGACTCTTGCCTTCTCATAATGTGACCAAAATACAATAACCTCAGTTTAACCATTTTAGCTTCTAGGGAGAGTTCAGGCTCGATCTCGTCTAGGGACCACTTATGTGTCTTTTTGGTAGTATCTGTAAAACTCTTCTCCAACACCACATTTCAAAGGAATCTAGTTTTTTCCTGTCAGCTTTCTTCATTGTCCTAATTTCACACCCATACATAGTAATGGGGAATACTATGACATGAATTAACTTGATCTTGGTCACCAGCAACACAGGGATCTTTTTTAGTTCCTTCATGGCTGCTCTTCCCCATTTCAATCTGTTTCTGACTTCTTGGGTGCAGTCTCCCTTTTGGGTGATGATGGAGCCAAGGAGTAGAAAATCTGGAATTATGTCAGTTTCCTCATAATCAGCCTTAAAGTTGTGGAATTCCCCAGTAGTCATTATTTTTGTTCTCTTGATATTCAGCTGTAATCATGCTTTGGCACTTTCGTCTACCCCGGGAGGGCGGGGTAAAAATCTAATGAATGAATGAATAAATAAATCAGTAGTTGTTTCATGTCTTCACTGTTTTCTGCCAATAATGTGTCACATCTCAAACTGTTAATGTTCTTTCCACCAATTTTCACTCCACCTTCATCTAAATCTAATCCAGCGTTCCTCATTATTGTCTTTTACAGTGACTCTTGTCTTCTCATAATGTAACCATGTTCTGCACACAGATTGAAGGGATAGGGAGATAAAATGCATCCTTGTCTGACACCTTTGCCATATTCTGTCCTAACAGCAGCCTCTTGTCCGGAGTATAGATTGCAAATTTTAAAATATCAAATGCTGTGGCATACCCATTTCCTTTAAAGCCAGTCGTAGCTGTTCATGATCCACACAGTCAAAAGCTTTGCTGTAATCTAGGAAAAAGCTGATTTTCTTCTGAAATTCTCTCATAAGCTCCAGTAACCAACATAAATTTGCAGTGTGATCTCTAGTGCCCTCTTCCCTTTCTGAATTCAGCAAACAGCTGACATTTCCAGTTCTATATATGGTAACTGTCTTTGTTGTAAGATTTTGAGCATCAGTTGCTTGCATGAGAAATTAATGTGATGGTCCAAGAGTTGCTGCAGTCTTTGACATCTCCTTTTTTGGAACTGGGATGTAAATTGAATGTTTCCAGTCTGTTGGCCATTTTTTGTTTTCCATATTTGTTGGGACAATCT